TCATTTTATTTTAACCTTTTCTTCTTTACTCTTGTGTTTCAAGTAAAAACAACCCCAGTAGAAACAATTTATTGGTGCAGTAAAGCATGCTTTTCTATAGAGTACCAGTTCTTTGGAACAGCCTCACTAGTTTGCTGGTTTAAATTAGAGACACAAGAACCAAAAAGAATGAAAGCATGAAAACAAAAGTGATGAAATCATTTTATTTTATTGTTGTGAGAGCACAGCAAAGGGCATAACTTTGTGGTTTTGAGACATTTTAGCATTGTCTAAACACTTAAGTAAATGAGCTTCTTTGACAGACTACACCAGCCCTCTTCCTGGCCATTATCACTTGGCAGTTTCCAGCAGGCCTTGTGATAAAAATGCATTTTAGGAATACTTTTGAAGAAGGCGGTAGTTGCTTGCAGACTTGCTCTGGAAGACACGGCTTTGCTCACAGAGGACAGCTTAGAAGAAAATGCCAGAAAGGAAGACAGAGACGGTGGAGTCAAAGCACAAGTATGGCTTCAGTGAGCCAAGCATTTGTAGAGTTGGAACCATTTCTGTCTTTTGAAAGTTGGAGCCTATCCCTGAGGGTGATGGCAGGGAAAAGGTGTCAGGGAAAGGCTGGCAATTTTCTGAGCAGCCACGCTCCAACCTCAGCCTTTGCTTTCTGAGTCTAGAAGGTTACGCAAGGCCAGACATTCCAGAAGGCCATTAAAACAATGGTGGGAAGAAAAAAGATACAGCTGCACTGGCAAAGGGAGGGTCATTGGACTTCACAATTCCAATTGGACAATGAAGAGGGTGTCCAATTAATTTTCTTGAATGAATCAATGTATCAAGGTAAATCTATGTGATTTTTAACCTGCACAACTGTTTTTGCGTGTAGAAAGTAGGAAAATAAATCATTCTGAGCAATGATTCCCAGCTCCTTTCTATGTAGTGATCTGAAGAGGATAACTCCGATCAGCAAAAGAGGTTGGATGTATAAGAATATCTCAGGATCTGCATTAGTTCCGCCTCTGGGATATATCATTCAGAAAAATCAAAGGCTGATGCACTGATTTGCCAATTTTAATTTAGTCAGAATCTTTTTTTTTTCTTTTTCCAAACTATATGAGATTAGCTGTTTAACTAAGCTGTTATTATAAAATACCAACAACAACAAAAGTGAAAACTTATTTCCCCCCCAAATATCAGAAGAATATAGCAGAATGAGTTCTGAAATTTGTCCTTGTGTAGTAACATATGCCCAATATGTCTGCATAAACTGTAATCTGCTGTCCAAACTTAAAACCAGCATACCATTTATGTACATTGGTGTCCTGGTGCCTCACAAACTCTGCATTTCTGCATTGGGAAGCCAACAGTAGCTCCAGGAAGACCACCACTGGTGTGCTGAGATTCCCCATGTGCTTGAGCCTGGAGCCCTGGGTGTGTGATGGAGCCCTTTTCCTGGTGGTGTTGACTGTACGATGTTTTTGTAACTTTTTTCTTGGCTGCTATGAGTTTTATGTTTTATTATTTTTAATATCGTTAGCTGCTCAGAGTCATACATTTGAGATGGATGGCCATGTAAATCTAATATAAACAAATGCCAGTGGGTCACAGTATGCAAGCCCATGTTATTTAGAAATTCAGCCATATGACGGTTGGGTGGGGAACCAACGGCTCCCCCATTCTTCCTCTTTTGTCCACCCTGTTTGTACAAATTAATGTGATCAGCAGCAAGAAAGACCTTGCTTTCCTTATCACCTTCATAGTGGCCACGAAAACTGTTTGGCTTGATCTTCTCTGCTTATGTAAAAGCAATCTGGGAAAATTAGCAGATCACTGAGGGGAAAAACAGCCTGAGGAGAAATCAGTGCACACATTGGGTATTTCAAGAACTGAGGCATTCAGTATACTGAGGAGCTATAACGCCTGGGTAGCACCAAAGAGAGAGGCACTTGCTTGTCCTTTGGGCCCTGAAGGAGCCTTCACTTGAAGTGCGTGAGCTGCACACACCAGGCTCACCCAAGGGGGCTGATTACTTTGAACCCACCGGGCAACTGTTTGCTCCAGTGGGTGGCACGGTAGGGCAGGTTCTGGATTTTCAGTTTAATCACCTTTTCATGAAGAAGATGGAAACTGAAGGTGTGTCTCAACATCAAACCACACACAGCCTTTCCTCTGCACACACACTTTTTACTGTTTTTATTGCTTTCATATATAAAGAAAAGGGAAAAAAGATTCAAAAGAAAACCAAGACAAACAAAAATAGAAACAAATTATGTTCCATATAGAAAAAGTCACTCTGCCCAATTTTTTAAATGCATTGTTAAACCTATATTGACTGATCTTTCCATTACAAATAGGCAGCTGGTTCATAGATGGAAAGTGAACATATATTACTAAATCAGGATTGTAATTCTAGGTTCACACTATATTTTCAGTATCAAATAATTTTTTTTCTGCTGTACCTCATAATTCTTCATATACTGATAACTTCCAAATGTTTGATATATAATTTAGAAGTGCATTCATATATTTAAATCATACTGATTTTTGTAGCACCATATTAACAAACTTACAGTATGAATATTAACCCAGAATGGAGCAACAGTAGGATAAGCCTATTTCATATTTCAGTATTATATCCCTCTCAGTATTTTACACTTACAGCATAATTAGGGTGACAGTCAAGACTTTCTGAACATTCTCTAAGGTAACCAATAAACATAAAAGAAAAAAAAATCAATTAATCTCATCTTAAGATTATAAGAAAGATGTTATATACTTTAAAACCCATAGCTCCTGATTCATTAATATTGGATATTTCAACTCTTTAATTCAAAATTCTTGCAGATAATATCTGTCTTAAGAATACTTTTTAATTGTTTATAAAACAATAACGTAGATTTCAAATCATCCAAACAGATATGAGTACTGACAACAGATCAGGAGTTTTAGCTTTTTTTTTCAAATTTTTTTATCCCACCTTTATTATTTTTATAAATAACTCAAGGCAGTGAACATACCTAATACTCCTTCTTCCTCCTATTTTCCCCACAACAACAACCCTGTGAGGTGACTTGGACTGAGTGACTGGCCCAAAATCATCCAGCCGTCTTTCATGCCTAAGGCAGGACTAGAACTCGCCGTCTCCTGGTTTTTAACCTGGTGCCTTAACCACCCAACCAAACTGGCTGTCAGTGGTTACTGCATCTGGGCCAAAGTATGAAACCATCGAATGTTTTAATTGAACCTACTGCCATTTCACAGTTTGGGGGTATTCAAATTGCATAGTAACTATACAGTAACTGAAGTAACTGAAATGATTTAAAACTTTGATTAGCAATGTATTAGCAAACTATTAATATCCATCCTTGCCCCAGCTTCTCCTCCTTCTAAATTTTCCCTAAATTCTCTTTCTTTTACCAGGTTTATTACTTTCTAACAGTACTCAGACTCTAAATCTACAGTATCTACTAAATTCTAATTTTAACTTTAGATATTTTCTGTAGTGCTCCATGATTTGAATAACAGTTAGCCAGCTGTTTGGTATATGCATCATCACCTTTTGTTTTGCCCATGAGTCTATGATCTTAGGATACATCAGAGTAGATGGCTGCATACTGAAGTTCTCAATCCCACCCAAAGGCCAAAATCTCTGCTCAAAGGCTAGTAAAGGATAAAGAGAGCGCATGATCTACCGCAGCTATCATATCCGGGGCTGCAAAATCTAATGACCATGAGATGGCAGCAAAAAGCTACAGGTGTCTATTCCTTTGCTGCCATCTCCTGTCTATTTCAGTTTTTGCAGTACAGAGATGATAGCTCCAGATCATTACTTTGTATCCCCTTTCCTCTGAAACAAGGGACATGCCACCACTTGGACGTTTTCACTCTTTCTCTGGAAGCATTTATAAACCCATATTGACAAAGGGGTTTTTCTCCCTTTATATTTATTAAATTTATCTCT